GTAATGTAAATCAATTAAATTTTTGGAGAATAGTTTTACCAAATTTTTTGAAATTGGTAAATGGACAAGTCTTTGATCCTTTAATTCTACTCTCAGGGATTTATTATTAGGAATACTTACATAAGGGCACACCGATATATACATAGCACAGTTACACTGTGGATAAAAAAAGGAAACAGACTAAATGTCCATTGACTGAATAATGGTTAAGTATTTACACAGCCATAGATAAATAATATAAAGTCACAAAAAAAGAATGTGGGGTCTGTGTGTATGTTGATATGGAAGCAAAACAAAAATATATTAAATATATTTGAGCATATTATATAGTAAATATTTCAAATAAATTTGTCAAATATATTAAGATTACATTAAATATAAATTATGTAAATATTATATTAAAACTAAAATTAGTAAACTTATTTAAATAAATTTTACATTAAATATAAGATATATTTAACTTTTGAAACGCAATATTTCAAAAGTTCACATACAGTGCATCATTTCTAAAATACTAGATTTATGTAAATATGTAAAGATAACTGGAGTTTGAAGGAAGTGGATTTCAATTTTCACTTTTTATTCTTCCAAAAATTTTAGCAATTATCTTAGAAACTTTTATTTTTTATATATTGACAAATAATAATTGTACATGTTTATGGGGTATGGTATGATGTTTCAATACATGTATGTATTGTATAATAATCAGGGTAATTAGCAAATCCATCACCTCATACATTTATCATTTTTTTCATGGTGAGAACATTCAAAAACCTTTCTTTTAGCTATTTTGAAATATATAATAAAATATTGTTAACCATAGTCACCCTACTGTGTGATAGAACACCAGAAATTATTCTTCCTATCTTATCATAACTTTATATCCATTGACCGACCTCTCCCCATCTTCCCCCTACCCTAGCCTCTGGTAACCACTATTCTATTCTCAACTTCTTTAGATTCCACATATAAGTGAGAACATGTGGTATTGGTCTTTCTGTGCCTGGCTTATTTCACCTAATGTAATGTCCTGCAGGTTCATCTGTTGCCAGAAATGATAGGATTTTATTCTTTATTTATGACTAAATATTATTCTTTTGTGTATATATACCACATTTTCCTTATCCATTCATCTGTTGATGGACACTTAGATTGATTCTACATCTTGGCCATTGTGAATGGTGCTGCAATAAACGTGGGAGTGCAGATATCTCTTCAACATACTGAGTTTATTTCCTTTGAATATATACTCAATAATAGGACTGTTGGATCATATGGTAGTTCTATTTTTAATTTTTTGAGGAACCTCCATACTGTTTTTCATAATGGCTGTACTAATTTACATTCTCACCAACAGTATATGAGTTTTCCTCTTTCTCCACATCCATGCTAGCATTTGTAATTTTTTGTTTTTGTTAATAGCCACTCTAATTGCGGTGAAGTGATATCCCATTGTGGTACTGATTTGCATTTCCCTGATAATTAGTGATATTGTGCATTTTATCATACACTTGGCCATGTGTGTATCTTCTTTTGAGAAATATAATATCTATTTGGGTCTTTTGCCTATTTTTAAGTCAGATTACTTTGTTTTTTGCTATTGCGTTGAGTTCCTATATGTTCTGTATATTATCCCCTTATGAGATGCATAGTTTACAAATATTTTCTCCCATTCTATACTTTGTCTCTTCACTCTGTTGATTCTTTCTTGTGCATGAGATTTTTAGTTTGATGTAATATTATTTGTCTACTTTTGTTTATGTTGTCTGTGCTTTTTATTTATTTATTTTTTTTAAGACAGAGTCTCACTCTGTTGCCTGGGCTAGAGTGCCATGGTGTCAGCCTAGCTCACAGCAATCTCAAAGTTCTGGGGCTCAAGCAATCCTGCCTCAGCTTCCCGAGTAGCTGGTACTACAGGCATGCGCCATCATGCCTGGCTAATTTTTTCAATATATTTTAGTTGGTCAATTAATTTGTTTCTATTTTTAGTAGAGACGAAGTCTCACTCTTGTTCAGGCTGGTTTCGAACTCCTAACCTTGAGCAATCCTCCCATCTCTGCCTCCCAGAGTGCTAGGATTACAGGCGTGAGCCACTGCATTGGGCCTGTTGTCTGTGCTTTTGAGGTCTTATCCAAAAAATCCTTGCTCATGCCCAAGTCATGAAGTGCTTCTCGTATGTTTTCTTCTCGTAGATTTATCATTTTGAGTCTTACATTGAAGACTTTAATCCATTTTGAGTTGATTTTTGTAAATTGTGAAAGATAGGAGTTTAGTTTCATTCTTCTGCTTGTGGATATCCAGCTTACCCAGCACTATTTATTGAAGATACTGTTCTTTCCCCAGTGTGTGTTTTGGCACCTTTTTCGAAAATAAGCTAGCTGTAAGTGTATGGATTTATTTCTGGGTTCTTTATTCTTTTCCCTTGGTCTATATGTCTGTTTTTATGCCAGTACCATGCTATTTTGGTTACTATAGCTTTGCTGTATATGTTGAAGTCAAGTAGTATTTTGCTCAAAATTGCTTTGGCTATTTAGGGTCTTTGGTGCTTCCATACAAATTTTGGGATTTTTTTTCCACGTGAAGAAAGTCATTGGTCTTTTGATAGGATTGCATTGAATCTGTAGATTGATTTATATACTATGGACATTGTAACAATGTTAATTCAATCCATTAACATGAGTATATTTCCATTTATTTGTGTCCTCTTCAATTTCTTTCATCAATGTTTTATAGTTTTTATTGTAGAGATCTTTAACCTCCTAGGTTAAATTTATTTATGGGCCTCTTATTTATTTATTTATTTGGTAGCTATTGTAAATGGAACTGCTTTCTTGATTTCTTTTTCAGATAGTTTGCTATTGGCATATAGAAACACTATTGATTTTTGTATGTTGACTTCATATCCTGCAATCTTACTGAATTTGTTTATTAGTTCTAACAGGTTTTTTTTTATGGCGCCTTTAGGGTTTTCTATATATAAGATTATATCTCTGCAAACAGGGACAATATGACTTTCCCCTCTCCAATTTGGATGTCTTTTATTTTTTTCTTTTGCCTAATTGCTCTGGCTAGGACTTTCAGTCCTATGTTGAATGAAAGTGCTGAAAATGAGCATCATTTTCTTTTTCCAGATGTTCTAGAAAAAACTTTTAACTTTTCCTGTTTGTTATGATGTTACTATGGGTTTGTCCTATATGACCTTTATTGAGTTTAGGTATGTTTCTTGCATACCTAGTTTGTTGAGAGTTTTTATTGTAAAGGGATATTGAATTTTACCAAATGCATTTTCTTCATCATATGGTTTTTGTTTATAATTCTTTTAATGTGATATATCATGTTTATTGATTTGTGTATGTTGAACTATCCTTTCATTCTTAAGATGAATCCCACTTGATTATGGTAAATGATCTTTTAAATGTGCTGTTGAATTTGGTTTGCTAGTATTTTGTTTATAATTTTTGTATGTATGTTCATCAGGGACATTGGCCTGTAATTTTCTTTTTCTGCTGTATCCTTGTCTGGTTTAGGTATCAGGGTAATGCTGGCCTCATAGAATGAATTTGGAAAGATTTCCTCTTCTTCAATTTCTAAGATGCTATGGTTTACATAAATATGCAAAGATAACTGGAGTGTGAAGGAAATGGATTTTTAATTTTCACCTTTCATTATTCCAAAATTTAAAAAGTTAACATATAACCATATACAAATGTAATATATAACCATGACTATATGTTCCTTTAACATTTAAAAGAGTTAAATACAATTTTGGAAATAAACAAAAATAATTTAGTTTGAGTTTAATGTTTAGGTTTGGCCCCAGAACACTCTAAACCTCACAGGGAACACATATCTTTGTATCTTATTTCTAAAGTGTAAAAATTACTTTAATTAGTTATAGGCATGTTTTATAAAGCCCACAATTCTGTGATACAGGATCACACCAAAACTGAGCTTTCTCGCTGTTTAGTTTTCTGATCCTCATTAATGCAGCCACATAACTAAATTTATCATTGCATTATTTCTTCAAACACCCAGAAATTTAATAGGAAATAATAAATGTTGTTTTATTCACAGATTGACATTTAGGTAGCAAAAAAAAAAAAAAAAAAAGGATTTTACATCACTTTTTTTTCCCTATTTTTGCTGTCTTCTAAGTGTAAAGAACATATGCTCAGCCTATTAGTTCATTAAACAATTGACTTATTGCCTCTGATAGTTAAGTTCAAAAGGAGTTGAGAGAGAAAAGATGGAATTATAGATTGGGTAAACAAGAATAAGAAATGTTTAGATTTATTTATAAAAGTAGTTTTTATTAGGCCATTTCTGCTTTCTGGTAAAATTGAAATATGGCTACATTTACTCATGTGATTCCCTCTGGATAACTTTGGAGAATCTTAAGGGATTCTGAGTGATGAGGTCAATGAGTAATATTTAAAACTAGAGCAAATGGGAAAGTGATTGCTAACTTCTGCAATTCTTTATAAAAGTTGGAAGGAAGAACAAGACCCTGGAGATCTCATTATTATAATTATTAGCATGGAGCTACTGATAACAAGGATCTTGTTTTCTCTATGTCCATAGGGATCTGGTTCTTAGAAGAGTATAACTGATAAACATGTTCTCCCCATGCTGCGTGTAGCTATTAAAAAGTTTCAAAAGAGTTTTGTTAGGGTTCACAAAATGGAACAATCTCTAGGGTTATCTGTCTTAGAGGAGAAACAGTCAATTAAGGACTGATTACAGTGGAGAGCTAAAGCAAGTCAGCTCTTGTTACTGTTGTCATCCATTTGCTATATAGTTGCCTCTCAGAGCTACTCAGCAGCCGTGGGGATTTACTCAACAATATCATTAACATCATCCAATCTTAAACTTTTCCAACTTAACTGAAATAATCACCCACTCACTTCCAGATGGCATTTTGTTGAGCAGGGTAATTTAGTAAGAGTACCTAGGAGAGCTGTTCTCTGTCAGTGACTTTTTGTTCTATACTCACCTTTCAGGAATAAATCCCATAAAACCTTCTAAAGCAGAATTACTCTGGGAATGCATTAAATTTCTATTCATCAAACATATTTTCAGACTGTGAAAGGCATTTGGGCTATAAATAAACATCATGTATTTGTCCTCAAGGATCTCACAGTCCAGAGGAAGGTAAGAATGAGAAAGTTGTGTCAAAATTGTGTCATTGTGTCAAAATTACTGTCCTACCAAAGACAAACATTGGATTATTGATTCTGTTGTGTTTGCTAACGACTCACTATTTTTATACTCTATAATATTTTCACTTCCATTAAGTATTTTGTGTACTGTGGTACTCCCAATGCTTAGCAAAGTGTTAGCACATAGTAGTTACTCAATAAATATTTGTTGATTGTATTACTTAATCTATAGAGTAATAGTAAATATAACATATGTTGAAGATTTGCTACTTTTACAATGAGTATTTTACAAAAGAGAAAATAGGCATAGGCAATTTTTGATGGAGTAGAGTCTAAGGGCAAATGAGTGCAGTCCTGACCTTTGTATTGACAATAAAATGGTAACTATTTATACCTTATTCTTCTTCGTTCATCTCCACAAACCATAAGTAAGTATTTCTTAGATTGACCACTGTGTACATGTGGTTTAATAGTAAATAAAAAGAGTAAATATAAACTAATGGAAACAGGTGTATATATAGTAAAATTGAAGATTCATATATACTATGTCCCAGGAATTCCGTACTTATAGAAAAACATATACTCAAGAGATAGACACAAGAATGTGCATAATAGCTTTATTTGTAAAGAAATCACTTAAATGAATATGAATCATAAAACTGATTAATACACAGTTCATATAAAGGAATATACTACAGTACTGAAGATAAAAATGGATGAATCTCACACAACATGAAATAACAATATATGGAAAGTGAAGAAAGTTTTGCATTGACTGTGTGATTGTTCAGGGAGTTATAAACCAATCATGTTAACAGTTCAAACTTTACAATAATTTTCAATGGAAGTTTGGGGCAGGGGCAAATCATTGCTATGGTTTCAGCCATAAACAGACTTGCATTTTATTATGAGTATATTTACTGGATGTGGAAATAAATTTGAGGGGAGCAAGGCCAAGAGAGAAATTGGGACATTCTTCTCATAATGCAGATGAGTTTAGAAGTGGAAAGTAATAATGAATTCAAGAAATACAGAGATATTGAGGAGGAAAAACTAACAAGATTATTTATTGTATGCAAACAACGAAGAAAAAGACAGGCTCATGGGTGATGCTTGGATTTGTAGTTTGGGCAACTGGATCCTTTCCATAATCTTAATTTCAAGCATCTCTTTCTCAAGCAACACTTAATTTTTTAGTGACTTCCTCTTGACCTTTGACTCTAATTATATTTCAACTCCTCTAGTCCACTGAGTTGAGACTTTTTTTCTTACTTGCCTCCTTCCTATCCTTCTCTTGCTTCCTTAGCCAAAATTTACAATATCACAACTTTGAGTAAGTCCAACTCTCTACTAATCCCATGCTTGTCCTAATGCAAGACTAGATAAAACTATACAACCCTTTTGAATGGCCTCACTTCAAATCCACAACCATACATGTACCTCAAGTAAACCCTCAATGTTGCCAAGCAATTGTATGCTTCCCTAGTCGTTTTAATTTTTTACTCTCATAGATGACTATTTCACACTTTGTCTTCCTGCCTCAAATCACCAGCACCTCCTCTCACTCACTCTCTCTCAGATGATTAAATTTGTTATTAAATTTACTGAGAAAATGGAGGCAATCAAAAAGAACTCTACAGACTCCCACTTCTACCTCTATCACCTACGAGCATCACCACCCATATATTCTACCTTCCTGCCTGTTACCACACATGAATCACTCATGCTCCTAAAAAATGCCAGTCCCTTCACTTGTTCATTACATTGATATCTCATTCTACCCCACATACTTATGGGCATAACTCTAGAAATGGTACCATCTTTCTACTACATCATCAAATTTTCACTTTTGACTAGATCATTCTCAGGAAGAAACAAATACACCATTAACTCTAACACCTTCGAAAAAAATTTTTTCTGATCCCATTTTCCCCACCAGGTGCATTTCTAATAATTAATTCTTCTTCACAGAAAAGTTTCTCAGAAATAAATTTTATTTCTCCCATTATCTTTTACACTTTGTCTAGTCTGGCATTTGGTCCCACCAATATACACAAACAACTTTTGTCAATTTTCAATCCTTATCTAACTTGACCAACCAAAAGCATTTGACCCAATTAGCCACACTCTCCTTCTTATTAGACTTTCTTCACTTGAATATTTCCATTGATGAATATTAGGTTCCTGTGTGTGTGGGGGGGGGCGGGTTTCAGTTCATAGGCTCCTAGATCATGAGGATTCCCAAGAGACTAATGCACATTACCTGATGTTTCTAGACTTTCAGCTAAATGCCAAAAGCTGTTGGGACTGAGGAGATGTTGCCTTCTTGGAGGAGTTGAGCATATTTTTGCATGTGTGCAGGAAGGAAAATAAACCATATTGGGTTGCTATAAAAATGAACTGTGGTCATTGTAAGCACCGTCTCAAATATTTCCATTTCTCATACCATCTGTGCATGTGTTAGGATTACATTTGCCTGTCGCCCTTAACTATGACCTTGTTACTTGATTTGATCAAAGAAATGAGAGAAGTATCATTTGTCATTTCCAGGTAGGAGCTTTCAAACCCAGGGAACAGGTTCCCACTGCTGTGGTTATCATGAAGGCACAAGTCAACATGAAATCTCTGCTGTATTTTCTCTAAGTGACTTTGACAAATGGAGCTCCCATAAGGACCCTCACTGCAGAAAAAGTACTACAGAGAAGTAACATTTGTTTTGTTAAACCACTGAGGTTTTGAGTTTTTTGTTATTAAACACAGATCATCTTGACCAGAACACACTCCCTCGCTCTCATCCTGCCCTTATTCTTGTTCCTCAAAGAGCTAGTGATGTGTGAACCTTAGGGACTTGCTCTACCTGCCGCTAGATTCTTGCCCGATGTTCTCTTGGATACCTTATATAACTCCTTCAGACCTTTGCTCAAATCTCACATTGTGAATAAAGCTTGCCCTGAACATAATATTTAATATTGAAACTTCTCCCTCAGCACTCCCAAATTCTCTTAAACTTACTTAAAATTTTTTACATATAATTATCAGCTTCTTATATATATTTTAAATTATTTATTATACTTAATATTTATGGTACTTATCTTCTGGTAGAATGTAAGCTTTGTGAGGACAGAGATTTTTGTCTATTCTGTTTATTGAAATACCTTAAATTCCAGAACAGTCTAAGGAATTCAGTACATGCCCAATAAATATTTGCTAAATAAGTTTTAAAAAAAGCAAGCACGTAGGGATGTGCAAATTAACTCATAAACATCATTTCAATGTAAACTAAGTATTAATAGAATTTGAGATTATGAAGTTAATGGAAGGACTAAAGAATAGAGTAAGGGCACCAGACTAGCCCAGGTTTCCCTCCCAGAAGGGGAAGAGGCGGAGCCTGAGATAGGCGCCCGCCCCTCCTGTGACGTAAGTAGGGGCGGAGCTTGCGCTTGGCGCTACTTCCGGATCAGTGGGTGGTTGCCGCCCTGGCTGGGCTGCCCCCGGCAAAGCGGAGGGCAACTGGGCAGGGGCTGTGGCTGTGCCGCCTGCCATTGACTTCCCCGTCGAGGGCCGGGGCCCAAGTGTGGCAGTCGGTGACTAGGCCGGGGATCTGGGTATTGGGACAGCTTGTGCGCCAAGAAAAGGGTGTTGGAGGTGTGTCCAGCTCACCTCCGTTAGCTGTTGAAAATAAAAGCCACAACCAACGGAGGATTCTCTCTCCTTAACAGCGGGAGAATAAGAGATGTAAAAGAAAGACGCTGTCGCTCAGAGTTCTCTGACCTAAAAGATAACAATCACTGCACCTCAGCTGGAATGCAGTCTGCCAGGGACCAAGACTAAAGGATCAGAGTAACCAAGGAAAGTAATGGTATTAGGTAACAGCTACTGAAAGCTTGCGGTAAATACTGATCCTCACTACAAGTCTTTAAATTGAATTCGAATGGTATGGGTTATTAAATATGAAATGTCCGATTCCGAATCAAAGTGTAATTTATTATATCTCAAGCAGGAAGCAGTATTAATCAAAGTATGTGCCTATGCTATCAACACAGTTTTGATGTCTTAAGGTAGCTTGTGTATGCCAGCAACGAAGGAGCCTGGAGAGCCAGTGGTGATGAAATCGTGAAAGGCATTTTTCACAGACTGTTGGGAATTACATATTTTTCCTTGCAAGAAGTGATCCAAAGCCTGAAAGAAGAGATAGTTGCTGCAAGATCTGGTGAATATGGTGGTTGATAGAGTTTCTAAGTCCAGCTGCTGTGGTTTGAGCAGCACTGTTCATGCAACCCGTTGTCTTGCAAGAGGATTGACCTGTCTCTACTGGCCAATCTGGGCTATTTAATCACAAGCATCTTCATCATTTCATTCAATTGGTTGCAGTAGATATCCACTGTAATCAACTGACCAGGTTTCATGAAGCTGTAGTGGATATCAGCACTGGACCACCAGACACCATTAGCTTTTTGGATGAATATTTGGTTTTCGACTGTGTTTCAGCACTTTATCCAACCATTGTGCTGAATGCTTGTAATTGTCAAAAAGAATCCAGTTTTCATCACATGTAACAATATAGTGCAGAAATGGTTTGCCTTTATGTTGTGACAGCAAAGAAAGGCAAGCTTTGAGATGATTTCTTTTCTGGTGCTCATTTAATTCATTACCTTGACGATTTGAAATGGTCCAATAGTGTGGGAATGGTAATGTCAAATTTTGCCGCTAATTCACAAGTAGATTAAGATAGATTTGCTTCCACTAAAGCTTTCAGATCATCATTATCCACCTTGGTCTCTGGTTGCCCACATGGCTCATTTTCAAGATTGAAATCACCAGAATGGAACTTCTCAAACCCTCAAAGTTCTGTGCATTCATTAGCCACATCCTTCCCAAACACTTTGTTGATATTTCGAGCTGTCTGTGCTGCATTGGTTCCACAATGGAACTCGTATTAAAAAATAACACAAATTTTTGACTTATCCATAGTTTCACAAAAATTGCTCTAAAATTTTTTTTGAAAGATATTACAAGGCAAAGCATGCATTTGGAAGACTGAGGTAAGAAAAGAGGAGGAAAATGCAAACTTAGTTTAGTTTTTTATTAGACCTAAGCCCTGAAATTACATTACTTTTCAAATAGGACATAAGCTCAAGTAGTATCATTGGAATATTGATCTACTGCTCAGGTGAACTGGGAAGAATAATAGGTATTGAGAGAGTTTGAATCATAAGAAAATGGTTGGTTCTATTCCAGCTAATAGACTGAGCACACTGTCTTTCAATTCTCATGCTATATTTCTAGTAATGAGAGCAAAAAGAAAACTGTATTTTTTAAAAAATGACATGAATTTATGTAAATTCAAGAAAGACATGAATGATCAAGTGGAAAGGGCCCAAAGAATGCTGATAATAATAATTAAATCATTTTCCACTCATATGCATAAACATGCACCCTATGTGTATATGTATAAATGTATGTACATAATAATATATATACACACAAACACAAACATGCCTCTACTTACTGACACTTAAGATTATTGTTAAGCAAATAATCATGTCCTTCCTCCTCCTAATGTGGGTAGAGTAGACTTTCCATTCCCTTGATGCCAGGCCTGACCACATGAGTTGCTTTGATCAGTGAAATGCTTGCAGACACAACATAAACAGAGATCTTGTGTGGCTTGGCTTTTTTTTTAGTCTTCTAGTTATCTGCAATAAGAAGAAGAATTTTCCATTTCCATGAATATGAAAAAATAATTTTAAGCTACTGAGTTCTTGGGTGTTTTGTTACACATTTTTATTCTGTCAATAGCTGACAAATATAGAAATCATGATGAAATTTCAAAATGTTAAGAATAAATAGAAAATCTTCAAACATTCAAAAATTAAAAGATTACAGAAAACACTGCTATATATATTGAAAAATTAAATAAACTAATGGTGGATCATGGGAGCCAGGTTTTTCAGTGTTGGAATTGGTGCTTACTGGTAAGGAAGGGGAGGAGGCTAGAATGATCCACGTGGTAACGAACTAGAGTTGGACACATCAGTATAAACACATGCTTAGCTTAACATATGATCAGATGGTTACATATAGAAATATTTTTTATAGATGTATATACATAGGTTGCTATGCACACATATATCTACTTGGTCTCTCAGCTGAGAGGGCCTAGAAGCAACAACATCCCAGTAGCAATAGGCACACTTAGGACCTAGACTTTGGTTTCAAATACCATTCCCCAGTGAAAAGAATGAGGCTCCTTGGGGAAATGGCTGATTTTAGGACTGGGGTGAAAAATATGCAAGATGAGACCGAAGCATCTTGTAGTACCAGCAAGTCATGAGTGTTTAAAAATAAATAATGGGATATGTCACAGAGACAAATGGAAAGAGTTCCCAATGGCCAAAGCTGAAACAATTTAAAAAATAAATAGAACAGTATTGGATCACAACCCAAAGTATAAAACAAATTTCTATGAGTTCATACTGCTATAAATGATTGAATAAATAAATCAGTTAGGGAGAACAGACAAATCTCTCATGAAAAATAATTCCAAATAATTTATGCAAATGCTCTATCCTCAAGGAAGAAGAGTACAACTCCTCACTATTTGATTGAAGGCTACATATAATGACTTCCTTCCAAAGAGTATAATGTGGAAGAGGGTAAAAAGAGTAACTTTACAATGGAGAAAGCTGACAACCATTATCTCAACCAGATGATCAAAATCAACATCAGCAGTGATAAATCATAATGATAGTCTATAACCTTGATACAACGTGATGAGAATGTCACTTTACCTCTATGACTGTAATCATGAACATAACATCATATAATATAAATCCCAATCAAGAGGCATTTAGGAAATGCTGATGCTTCTCGAAACTGTCAAGACCATCAAAAACAAGGCTGATGAGAAACTGTCATAGTCAAGGAAGGCTTAAGTAGCCATGACAACTAAACAGACTATGGTATTCTGCATGGGATCCTTGAATAGAGAAAGGAAATATAGACTTTAGTTAATGTAGCATATCAATATTGGTTCATTAATTGTAACAAATGTACCAGACTCTCTTAGTCTGTTCAGGCTGCTATAACAAAAATACCATAACCTGGGTGGCTTATAAGCAAAAGAAACTTATTTCTCACAGTTTTGGAGGCTGGGAAATCCAAGATCAAGGTGTCAGCAGATTTGGTGTTTGGTAAGGGGCCCACTGGCTCATGCCATCCTTTCACTGCCTCTTAACATGGCAGAAGGGGCAAAGGAACTCTTGGGGTCCCTTTTGCAAGGATACTAATCTCATACATGAGGACTCCACCCTTATGACTTAATCACCTACCAAAGACCCAATCTCTTAATGCCCTCACATTGGGGGTTAGGATTTCAACATATAAATTTTGGAGGGACACAAACATTCAGTCTACAGCAAAGACTAATATTAATATAAGAAATTAATAATAAGGAAAACTGGTTATAGAGTATGTGGGAACTCTTTATACTACACTCCCACTTTTTCTATAAATCTAAAACTGTTCTGAAATAAAAAGTTTATTTTCAAATAAAACAAAACAAATAAGATATTATGTAAAACAGATTGAGAATTATAATGACATTAAGTTTCTGGGTGAGTTGAGGTTCTCTGGAAAGCAGACACCATGAGGTGATTAAACATGTCAGAGATTTATTGGGGAAAATACCTGTGAGGGTAAATGAGGAGAGAGCCACATGGAGGCTGGGGGAGCCATCAGATTGCTGTGGAAGGTCCCATTTCAGAGGAGAAAGGGAAAGAAAGAAGACTGAGTAGGAAATACCTTAGAGTTCAGAGCAGTTCTTAAAATTTTTTGGCAGGGCCAGAGTGAAGTCCTTGA